GTCTGTAGGCTGTCTCCCTGCTCTCTTGATGGTTTCTTTGGCTTTGCAGAAGCTTGTCAGTTTAATAAGGTCCCATTTGTCTATCTTCTCTCTTAAGTCCTGTGGGTTTCGGGTTTTGTACAGGAATTGGATGCCAGTTCCAATTTCCATGAGAGTATTTCCTTCCTTTTCTAAGGTTCTTATGGTTTGAGGTTTTACATTTAGGTCTCTGATCCATTTGGAGTTAACTTTTGTGTATGGGGATAGATAGGGGTCCTGTTTCAATCTTCTGCATGTTGTCAGCCAGTTTTCCCAGCACCATTTACTGAAGAGGTTCTCCTCTCCCCAGTGGTAGGTGGTAGGGGCTTTGTCGAAGATGAGTTGGTTGAGAAATTGAGGTTTTGCTTCTGGAATCTCAATTCTGTTCCATTGATCTATGTGCCTGTTCCTGTACCAATACCAAGCTGTTTTGATGATTGTAACTTTATAGTAAAGTTTGAAGTCTGGTATTGTGATACCACCTGCTTTGTTTTTTTTTGCTGAGGATTGTTCTGGCTATTCTTGGACGTTTTTGTTTCCATATGAATTCCTGTGTTGTTTTTTCTAGGTCTGAGAAGAATGTTGTTGGTAATTTAATGGGTATTGCATTGAATTTGTAGATTGTCTTAAGTAAGATGGACATCTTCACAATGTTGATTCTTCCGATCCATGAGCATGGGATATTTTTCCACTTGTTCATGTCAACTTTGATTTCTGTGAGCCGTGTTTTGTAATTTTCATTGTAAAGGTCTTTCACGTCTCTGGTTAGGAAGATGCCAAGGTATTTCATTTTTTTTTGTGGCTATTGTGAATGGAATTGTGTTTTTTATTTGGGTTTCTGTTTGTTTATTATTGGTGTAGAGAAATGCGATTGTCTTTTGTACATTTATTTTGTATCCTGAGACTTTGTCAAAGGCCTTTATCAATGTAAGGAGGCTTTTGACAGATTATCTTGGGTTTTCGAGGTACACAATCATGTCATCTGCATAGAGAGATAACTTGACTTCCTCTTTTCCTATTTGAATACCTCTGATTGCCTCCTCTTCTCTGCTCTAGCCAGGACTTCCAATACTATGTTGAACAGGAGGGGAGAGAGTGGGCATCCTTGTCTAGTTCCAGTTTTCAGGGGAATTGGTTCCAATTTTTGTCCATTTAGGAGTATGCTGGCTGTGGGTTTCTTGTAGATGGCTTTTACTATTTTGAGATATGTTCCCCGTATGCCTAGATGTTCAAGGGTTTTTATCAAGAAGGGGTGCTGGATTTTATCAAAAGCTTTTTCTGCATCTAGTGATATGATCATGTGGTTTTTGTTTTGACATCTGTTGATGTATTTAATTACATTTATGGTTTTACGAATGTTGAACCAGCCTTGCATGCCAGGAATGAAGCCTACTTGGTCATGGTGGATGATTTTTGAGATGTATCGCTGAATCCGGTTTGCTAGGATCTTGTTGAGAATTTTAGCATCTATGTTCATCAAAGATATTGACCTGTAGTTCTCTTTCTTTGTTGGATCTTTACCTGGCTTGGGTATCAATGTGGGTAACATGTTTTTTATCCCCTCATTTTTTACCCTGTTCTCTTCCCTCTGTGCACAGTGGTTCAGCCTTTCATATATATATTGGAATTTTTGAGTTAGGTTCTTGGAACTCCTGTAATACCAGAATTTGTTTTTAAAAGGCAATAGGATCATATCTATTTTTGTTTATCTAGAACGCTTGACCTCAAGTGATACTCCCACCTTGGCCTTTCAAAGTGCTGGGATTATAGATGTTATCTACTGCATCCAGCCTATTTTTGTTTATCAAAAGATAGACAATGTTTCTACAAAATATGCTTTTGGAAATAATTGAACTATGTATTCTGTTAACATTATTTTAAAAAACAAACAATTATTTGAACAAAATTGTAACCTATTATAAATGGATTATTTAAAATGTTAATTTGGGGCATGCATCTATTGCTTATGTTAGAAAATTACTTTCTTATTTGACGTTTCTTTTTTCTTTCTTTTTTTTTTTTGAGTTGAAGTCTCACTCTGTCACTCACTCTGTTGCTCCCGGCCACTGCAGCTCAACCTTCTGGGCTCTGGCGATCCTTCTGCCTCAGCCTTCCAAGTAGCTGGAACTACGGGCGCACACTACCATGCCCGGCTAATTTTTGATTTATTGTAGAGATGAGGTCTTGTCAAGTTGCCCAGGTGGGTCTTGAACCCATGGGCTTGGGCAATTCACTCGGCCTCCGAAAGTGCTGGGATTACAGGCTGAACCACCAAGCCCGGCCTCTTTTTACTTTCTGTGTTCTTTCTATGTCCTTGTTCTTTATAAAGGGAGAAATATTAAAATTGTCTGTACTTAGGTTAATACGTTGTAATACAACATTAATTTTAATAGAAGGAAAATTACTAAATTCTATTACTTTTTTTCTTTCTTACAGTGAATCTTGCACTTGCCCTAGCAGCAAATGATTCGGTAAGTGTTGATTAATAGAAATGTTATTTTACTAAATTTTTTTTTTTGAGCCAGAGTCTCACGCTGTCACCCAGGCTGGAGTGCAGTGGCACACTCATGGCCACAGCAGCCTCGACCTGCTGGGTTTAGGCAGTCCTTCCGCCTCAGCCTTCCAAGCAGCTGGAACTACAGGCGCTTACTACCATGCCTGGCTAATTTTTTGATTTATTGTGGAGATGCGGTCTTGCCAAAGTGCCCAGGCTGGTCTCAAACCCCTGAGCTCAGGCAGTCCTCTTGCCTCAGCCTTCCAAAGTGCTAGGGTTACAGGCGTGAGCCACTGCCCAGCTGACTAAATTGTTTTTAAAGCAATGACAAAGAGCGTTATTAGTTTTTCATTTACCCTGTCAGAAGCTATGTAGTGTAGTTTTAGTTAGGTGTGTGTCTTTAAGGAACTCAAGATGCTTCCATCAGTACTGATTACATTTGATAATAATGATGCTTGTAAGTGTTGACTGTATATGCCATAAAAAGCTTTGTTGACTATATATATGCCATAAAAGCCTTTGGTGTTCTTGCATGGAGGTTGTATCCTAAAACAGTTTTCCTATTTATGGTCTATAGAAGCATTATCCTAGGTTCAATTTTTAAGTGTTAGTATTTCAGTTTTTTAAAAGGTAAAAACTGTTCTAAAAGTATCCATGGAAACAAAATTCAAACAGCTTATATGTGTAACATAAAACTGAAAGTTTATATACTCTCTTTTCTTTCAAAGGATGAACTGTAGGTTATAGTTTTGTGTATATCTTCTCTGCTCTTTCTTTTGCTTTATACAAATTTAAATATACGCATGTACATATGTGACATACATCTTTCTATAATATACCACATTCTTATTGACTGCAGCATTAATGATCAATAATAATATATTTAACTGGGCACAGTGTCTCAAGCCTGTAATCCCATCACTTTGGGAGGCTGAGGTGAGAGGATTGCCCGAGCCCATGGTTTGAGACCAGCCTGGGCAACCTTGCAAGACCTCATCTCTACAGTAAATCAAAAAAATTAGCCGGGCGTGGTAGTGCCTGCCTCTAGTTCCAGCTACTTGGAAGGCTGAGGTAGAAGGATCACCTGAGCCCAGTAACTCGATGCTGGGGTGACCATGAGCATGCCACTGCACTCCAGCTTGGGTGATGGAGTAAGACTCCAACTCAAAAAAAAAAAAGAAAAAATATTTGTGTATGTACGTGTGTGTGTATATATATATATATGTATTTAACCAGTTCCCATTTGATGAAGTATTTAGGTTGGTTCTTGTTTTTTTTCCTATTCTAAATGATGTTTCAGTGGAGTTCTTATATAGTATTTTTATTTACTAAGTGATAATATTTTTATGGGATAGATTCTTAGAAGTAAAGCTACTAGGTCAAAAGGTATATACACTTTAAATTGTGCTCCTATTAGTTTACTTCTCAAAAATTTCAGCTGTAGTTTCTGAGAGTACCCCTCTTTTTTAGTCTCATTAATATTAGATGTTATCTGTCATTTTAGATATTTAAAATAAAAGTTAGCATTGAACATATTGTACAACTCCATAAATTATCAGCTAGTTAACAAAAATACATGTACATATTTCATAATTGACTTTAATTTCTCCTTCATTACTATCTTATAAAATACAGGTAAGAATCATTTAATATGTTTAGCTGTAGCCATGCTTCTAACTTATTTTCTACCTTTATTCTGTAGCTTTAGTTCCAAAAAGATAACTCATATGAAAAAATAATGTGTGGTATCTACACAAGTATGATATCAATGTATGGAGTCCAGAATCTACCAGAACCCAGACATAGGTACATAGATGTTCATGTCTTCTGATGTTTGGCTCTACATTGTTTTTAAAAATTGGAAACTGGCTGGGCTCAGTGGCTCATGCCTGTAATCCCAGCACTTTAGAAGGCTGAGACAAGAAGTTTGCTTGAGCCTAGGAGTTCAAGACCAGCCTAGGCAACATAGTGAGACCTCTTCTCAACAACAACAACAAAAATTAGCTGGGCATGGTGGGGCATGCCTGTAGCCCAGCTAGTCAGGAGGCTGTGGCAAGAGGATCACTTGAACCCAGAAGTTCAAGTTAGCGGTGAGCCATGATCGAGTCGCTGCACTCCAGTATGGGTGACTGAGTGAGACTAAAAAAAAAAGATTGGAAACCAATAAATAGGATTTATAATATTTTGGTTATATAAATTTTATTTACTGTAATATAAATGAACGTTTAGAGGATGAAATGTAATTATGTTTCTCTAAAGTTGTGCTTCTAGGATGAGAAAATTACAGTGTCAAGGTCAAATTTTTTCTGTAAAATTTTTTTCAACTCTCTTTCTTTTATGGGAGACCTACTTTCAGGAGTCCCGTTTTGTCTTCTTTCTTGAGGTTTTTTTTTTTCTTTTTTCTTTTCTTTTTTCCTGGAAGACATCCTTAAGTCTTCAGATGGTTTGCTGGGCAGAGTAATGGCCCGCCAAAAATACCCACATTCTAATTCCTGGAACCTGTGATTATGTTACCTTTCATGATGGCAAAAGGGACTTTGCTGGTGTGATTATGTTGAAGATCTTGAGAGGGGGGAATTATCTTGGATTATCTAGGTTGGTCTAATGTAACTGTAAGGATCCTTGTAAACAAAAGAGGGCAGCAGTCAGAGTCAAAGTAACTTGACGTGTGAAACATTCAATACACTGTTGCTGACCTTGAAGATGGAAGGATACCACTGGCCAAGGAATATAGGCAGCTTTTAAAAGCTAGAAAGGGCAAGAAAGTGGATTTTTCCTTATAACATCTAGAAGATGGGAGAAGAATTCTGCCAACACCTTAATTTTAGCTCATTGAGATTCATTTGGACTTTTGTGATAATTTTTTACAGAAGTAGGAAACTAATATATTTTGGAAGTCAGTTTGTTTAGTTCTTTAATTTACAAAGATGTCTTTATTATGCTTTATGTTTGATAGTTTAAGTAAATTAAGTAAATTCAGTTAACTGTAGAATTCTAGGTTCAAAATAATTTTTTTCTCTGAACTTTGAAAACAACATTCCGTTTTCTTCTAGCATGCTAATGAAATGTCTGATTCACTTTTTTTTGTAATAACATGTGTTTTCCCCCTTAAAACTTTTAAGGTTTTATGTCTTTTAAGTTTTAAAATGTTTCTAATGTTTGTCCTAGTTGTTGACTTTAAAAATTATTATCTGTTTGAAATTTGACCCTGCAGTATTTTCTTTTTTCATCTTAGGGAAAGTTTATTTTACTTATTGATTTCCTTTTGTGATTTTTTTTATGTCTCCAGAAACGTATTAGGTAGAAATTGACCTTTGTACTTGTTAATTTTCCTCTCATATTTGCTAAATCTGTTTAACTCTGTGCTTTGAAAGATATCATAGACTATTTCTCATACTGGTTTGACACTGCTGTGCTGCACTTTAGTTCTTATTTAGCCCTTCTGAATTTTTTTTTCCTTTTGAAATTATATATTTTTTTTCAATTTCTCAGAACTGTTTCGTATTTTCCACTTGCTGTCCCTTAAAAAAAATGATTGTACTATTCTTTTGAATCTCTCTAAGGATGGTAATTAGAACTAATAAAAAGTATTTTTCTTAATGATTTCTCTTTAGCTTGGATGGTAGTTCTTGTAATTTGACCCTCTGACCAGCAGAATCAGTGTTACCTAGGAACTTGTTAGACATAAAATCTTGAGTCCCACCCCTCACCTACTGAATTAGAAATTTTGGTGGTGAAGACTCACAATCTCTGTTTTAACCAGCTCTCTAGATGATTTTGATGCACCCTAAAGTTTGAAAACCATGGATCTAGGATTTTAAACTTCAAATCTGCTAACGGCACCGTCTTTTGTTTTCTAGTGTGGTTATGGTTTTATTTAGCTTTTAACTAATTTTTAATCCTTGTCATTTCAATCAAATTTGGAAAAGAAGGGACATAAGCTTGTATGTATGTTTCGGCAACTATATTGAGATAAGAGCCAGTGATACATTTTTTTTTTTCTGATAATTTTCATTGGGATACTTAGTTATCCTGGAAAAAGGAACCCATTTTTTATTTTTTATTTTTATTTTTTTAAAAAGAAGGAAACAGTGAAAATTCAGTGGATGAGAGGATAAACACATTTGTAGGTGTGGACCTCTTTTAATTTGGTTATCATTTCAAGCAAGTCTTATAGGCAATGTGAAGTAACTATGAAAGGATGAAAAGAACAATTAAAAAAGGGATTGATTTCCCCATATTAAATATTACTCACCTTGAAGAGCTGGTAGCTTGAGGAATTTCCTTTTTTTTGTTTCTGTTTTTGTTCTTTCAGGCAGCAGGAAAAAAATCTTTTATACTATGTGTATGAGAGGGAAATTGACAACAAAAAGGGAAAAACAATAAGACTATCCCTGGGCCACTTCTTCAGAAAACATTTAGTATCCTTAAATGTTTTAAAACATGTTTGTACAACTTTCCTTAAGGAAGTCTTTAATATTTTGTAATCCTGTGAAGGTGACTTTTTATTTTTTGATATTTTGTAGCAAAGTTAGTAGAGAAATAATGAAGAAAAAAGCCAAGAAATTTGAGCAGCATATTGTGATAATTCTAAGATTATATGACATACTACAGTATTTTATGATCAGCTACCTTGTCCTCATTAATACATTTATATATACTTAAGAAATATAAGTTTAATTGTACTTATGTGCTTGGTGAGGGAGCAATATGTTTAACTTAAATAATTTTTTGAAATATGAGCTACCAAGAGGACTGCTTGAATGTAGAAAATAACTATATCTGTTCTGTGTGCTTTATATATATCTGGCATAGTCCAGTGCTCTGTATTTTCCAACTTAAGATTTTTATTAATATTACACTTATTTAGAGGACATGCTTCGTTAGTCTTTAGGGGAAGCTCAGGGTTCTTTTAAACACTTCTATTGTCTGAGTCAATACAGGTGATTTAGATCCATGGACATTGATTGGGACATG